GGTACTAATTTGTGTGTACGTGTGTGCTTGTCCCCTATCCGTCCCCTACTGGATTTGACACCACTGACCCACACATACTGCTGTGTCAACAATAGCAGCACATACACATACACACATCACAGATGACAGCATCTCAGAAGACCCTAACAAGATAGTTTACAGAGAATGAGAGAAGAGGGAGGAAGGGCTGAAGAAAGGTTTTATCTATGTGGTACATCGCTGCTGCTTATGTTGATGTCAGGGATAAATGGGCTTAACCGAACAACACGAGCTGCATCAGTGAAATCTTCAGCAGTACACTGCAGGCCGCAGCCAATGACTAGTTCAGCCAGTCATTTCATCCATACGTTCATTAGAAGAGAACAGAAAAGCACTGAGCAATTCCCCCTGCAAACATTTATCCACCATGAGTAATTAAACAAAAGGTTGGTTAATGGAATGTGATGTGAAACCAAATGAGAACTCTAATCCTTCTCAGACTATTGCTTGTAACTTGTAACAGCTAAAACAGAGACATTTTTACCCCCTCAAGAGTATACCCTTCGTTCTTAGGAGTGTAAGTGTGAAGCCAAAATGGAGCAGTTGCTCAACAAACTTGCAATAAAAACGTAGAATGTGACAGTTAAAACAATTCTGAAGGAAACTGCAGTCATTCCTTAATTCATTCCTTCATTCATTTTCTCTGCTGGTTGAATGCTTTTTATTATTGCAAGGGCCTCAATCCTATTAAAAAACTGTTATTATATAGTATTATGTTGCTCTGTTGAGACATAATGTCTCATTTTGAGGGGCTGCTATGTTCAATGGCTGCAGTTCAAGATTAACAGCAATTATAAATGCTTGACAAGAATGTCTTATTTTTACATTTTCACCAAATGAAACCTATACATACAGCCAATATTATCCCAAATTTAAACACAAGCTGTGTGTCCTGTCCTCAGCAGCCAAAATACCCTTAAATGACATATATTTGTAAGTTATAAAGGACTCTAGAGGTCAAAGTAATTACGACGGGAGCAAAGTCAGGTTTACTATAATCCAAACCATGATCTTTCCTTAAACCTAAGCAACTTGATTTTATGCCTACACTTAACCAAACAACCAACAATGAAAGTCTTACATTTTTCGTGTTTATTGTGGGATGTGATATTTTATCGTTTTTTACTTCTGACCCGACACCCTTATTGGCAGCCTTGTGTCTGGTTTTAATATTAGTAGGTCAACTCAACTTTATTCATATCACACTTAACTAACAAAAGTTCACAGGGAGAAAACCAGGGCAAAATGTTAGGGTTAGGGGTATAAATAAAGTTGAGTTGACTTTCTATTATTGAAACTAGACAGAAGGCTGCTGATAGGGGTGTCAGGTCAGTTCATGAACAAACAAAATGTATTTTATTGTCTAATATGGAGGACTGGTTTAAAATCTAGTGTGCCTGAAATTGAAATTGTAAAGTTAGAAAATGATCACATGACAAAGCAGGTATTAACTCCACTTTTAGTTCTGTGTTTGGTTTTAATCACACGCTGTACATCTAAATGGCCAGTTTAGTATTCGGTTGCACTAAGTTATGGGGCTGTAGCAGTTTACATCTGCCAATCCTGGCAACAGTGGCAGATTTTGTATGAAGCCTGTGAGATGGCACTGCCTTAGAGCCTCAGCTCAGGGCGCGATAGTCCTGTGTGTGCGCTGCTTAGGCTCTCTGGATTGTACTTTACAGCTGTCACAGTGACTCACTGACAGCTACCTGGAGCTGTACCCCATGGGTGCCATTGTCAAACAGCTGTCTGTGTTAAAGCTCTCTCTGGCTCGCTCTCTTTCTCTCTCTCTCTCTCTCTCTCTCTCTCTCTCTCTGTGTGTGTGTGTGTGTGTTTGTAAGGAAATGCGAGAGAGGGAATATCTGTCAGATCAGATGTCAACAAACAACAATAGTTTGCAAACACTCAATCATCACACAGACTACACACTCTCTTTGCCACACAGACAAACACAATTGGCACAAAAGCGGGCTTATGGTTGCTAAACAGCTTATCCATATACAGAGGTGAGTTTATAGTGTCTCCTCTGTGCTGTGTTATACCAGTGCTTGCCATAGTGTCAGTTTTCTGTCCTAAACTGTCTAAATTGTTTCATTTTACTTTCCCCATTTGCTGCACAACATAATTAAAACATTAGCAGCAGAGATTTGAAAGGGGAATTTGTCTCCATTTGATGGACACAGTTGTCTAGAGCTTGTTCTTTTTTGTTGTTGAGAAAGGCCTCAGTAGTATTTTACTAATTATGTCTATGACTGTTATGCTTAAAGTGCATATATCAATAATATTCTGTATCAGTATTTTTGAGTGATGTTGAAGTAATTCAAGGATCTTTCCTTAAACCTGAAATCCCTTGCTCTCAAGTTCACCGCAGCAGGGTGGGATAGCAGTTCTTGATGAGTTTTTGTTCACCCCTACATCTCTGTTACCTGCTCTTGAGGGGAAATGAAGAAGTAAAGGAAGTTATATACATATCATCTATTAAACATGCGGTGTGTGTGTGTGTGTGTGTGTGTGTGTGTGTGTGCGTGTGTCCGCGCGCTCTCATGTTTGTCTATAAAGGTCCAGATGCGGTATTTCCTCACTTAAATGCAAACACTTTCCTTTCCTTGTTTCACTCACATAAGGACTTCCACACACACAAACACATATACACAAACACAACCAAAAGATGCATACACACAAACAAGCAACCCTTTCCTACACATTCCTTTCCACACACACACACACACACACACACACACACACACACACACACACACACACACACACACACACACACACACACAACGTGCTAACATTACATCTATCTGAATGAGTTCCTTCCATTTTCACTGTGTTGTTATTGATTGTACTTAAACACCACCACTCCTGTCGGCTTGTACCAGGAAATTGGCTTCATATTGAAACTGTCACAGCAAGGGTGCGTTTCATTTTAGGCCCTGAGGGGCAAAGGGAACGTAGGGCAAGAGGAATCAATCTTCATTCTATGGCACCGCCTTGTTTCTGTACAGGTTTTTCTTTTATAGGAGTTTTTCTGTTTTATAATAAGTACAGTCATTTTGTCAGTGGTTAAGACTGTCCTTCTACCAGGTTCAAACTTAAGTGTCACTGATCACACATCCTGCTTAAGTCCTTCAGAGAGAAACTGGATCCCTGCCAGTTCTGTGGTGGCTGCTCTAGCTGATGCTGATCTCTGATCTCCTTGTGGAGGAGATTAAGCGAAATAGTATGGAATGATTACGGAGTCAAACCCCCCCCCCAAAAAAAAATTATAGGGATGACTTGCATCAAGGGTTAGAAAGTGGGGTTTTGTGCGCACATCACTTTTAACCTTGGTGTTATTGAAGAAAATTATCAATTTGTTACATGGAAATGTTTTACATTAGGAACCAAGTGAACTGTGTCGAGTATCCAGTGTTCCAGTAATTCTTGACGATGTTAATGTTAATAAAATAAAAAATAAAATGTAGGATTATTACTGTATAAATTAGACAAAGTTATAACCAGTTTGATACACACAAGAGCACATAAGTTTATGTTGTTATTTTGCACCAGCCTATCTCTGGTTGGACAAAATGTTATTGAACTACTTTTAGTAGTTTTGGATAGTCACACTTTGACTGTGCATACTCCTAAAATTGAGGATGAAAACCCATACCTGCCACTTTGACAAAGCTGTACAGCGAGTTAACGGTACCCTGTAGAGGTTTCACCACTAGTAACATTATGGAGCATCAGTGGGAATCTATTTTCATGAGTGAGAATCTGATTTGTTTGTTGCATGAGGAGGGGCATGCATACACACAAGCAGGTGACAATATACGTATTCTTGCCGATGGTTTCACAATATTCCACAGTTCTCCAGGTGATGGCTCACCATGAAATGCAGCAATGCTAAGGCAGGGAATGAGACTGCTCATGAGTAAATATGGATGCAAACCATACAGGTTTAAAAAAAAAAAAGTGAAATGCATTCAACATATTTGATTGGCCTCAAGGAGATAGACTGTGTGTTTTGGTGAATAACACTGAATGTAAACAGAAACCTTGTTTACAAGAAAACTCAAGAGGGCACTTTTAATAAGCTGAACGTGAAGGCCTTTATACATATTTTTAATGCAACTTGCTACCACAACATTTTTCATAATGTCTGGAAGCTGAAAAGTTAACAACTTTTTACCAAACCATTCTCTTTTTTGAAGATAGTGCAGTAATCACACAATGAAACTAGGAAGGGTCTCTAATGGCCAAGAAAAAAAACAAATGTTGCTTCTTTATGGCCAAATAAATGCAAAGTTTCCCACATATCAGCATTTCTGAGCCATTTTCACATTCAGTAGCACAGAAACTGAGATAAAGGAAAAGCCTGCACACTGTGATAAGTGTCTCATTATGCTTTGTTGCACAAAGTGAATTAGAGAACAACACAAATCCTCCAGATTTTAGATTACAATGATGATTCAAGATAGATTCCTTGCTGTGTAAAATACCCCCAGTTTACCTCCTCACATTACTGTGATTTCCTCCCTGTTCTTTAAATGTTGTTTCTATTTCTTAAGCTCTTGAGAAATGATTTCTTAATCAATTTTCACATACCTGGCAGACCATGACTTTTTGTGAGTTGCCTGAGCCCATTTTTCACTTTGGCACATGTTCAATCACAAAGCAAAATATCAACTGGTTTACCAATTACAACTTTACCCCAAAATGCACTGCAGGCAGTAAGACAGACCGATAGCAATCATCTCAAATTGAACTGTGTACTGTATCTACTTGAGTTTTAAACCTGGTATCAAAATTAAAAAGCAAACCAGTAAAGTTATTAATAATGTGCCTTCAGGTCTTGGATTATCTTGGTTTGACAATGTGCATACGTGTCCGGTTTTATATAATAAAACTGGGTATGGGTGTTGTATAATTAGTATTCACGTGACCTCTCAGTGTGTACTTTGAACAGGTACCTTGACAACGTCCACGTCTGTAGAGCTGCATGTGACCGAGTCGTCCACCTCCCTCACCTGCCCGTCGGTCTCCACGGTAACCAGTTTTATGGGCACTGCGACACGCCGACCTGTAAGAATGGCTGTGTTCACCACCTCTGTGTCCTACAGAGAGGAAGAAAGACAAAGAAAGTTTCTTAAACAAAACAAAAAAAACATGAAATACCTTCATGTATAGATCAATTCAGACTTTACCGCTTTAACCACATTAAACATTATTTTCTGTGCCGATTTTGGTTGAAAAGTCTTGAGGTAACAACACAGGCACCTGATAAACCAGCCTACTGTAAGTGACCCGGACAAAAACAAAGGGATTTTATGATTTAATAAATTCATAGACAAATTAGCTATGTTCTCTTCATCTTAAAGGGATTAAAAGGAAAACAATAACAAATTTGGACCACCACAGTAGTATTTTTAAGCTTGCCCATTTTATGTCATGTTGTGTTCTTTTATATCAGCAGGTAGGTAGATAGGCTATTGTATTCAAAGTAGAGTCACCTAGGTGGTAGTATTTAGCCATTATTCATGCACCTGCACTAATTTTAAATGCACCCTAAGTCATTTTGTTCTGGGAGTGGGCCTGGCTTTATACATGTAACCAAGGAGCAAAAGGTATTTAGATATAACATTTCCAATAATAGATAGTCATTTGATGTGACAATATTATTTTTTTGTTTAAACACATTTAATTCTAATAAATGACTTTATATATGTTTAGATGTTTATTCTCATACAATTTGTTTACACTTAATCTTTGAGGCACAGTACACTTTTTGTTACACATGCAGTTAATACATCATAAATATCAGTGCTTATGTGCTGCTATTTGAGCTTTAGCATGTCTCCACCCAAGTGCATGAGAAGGGTGATATGATTGAAGATGGTGAAAGATGTAGAAGGAGCGAAATAAATAAACAAGTAACAGAGACCAGGGGAGAGTCTTAAAGGGAGAGAAAGATTAAAAAAAAGAGCTGATTATAAACCTCACGATTAATGTAATCAGCATGATTACATTTGATTAGATCCTTCCAACAAAAATAGCACAAACACACCACAGACACACACACACACACACACACACCTCAGAGCACCACCAGCGTCAATCTTGATTATTTGGCATTGAGTTTCCAAGGGGGCATTTATTACCGCCAACACACACACAAAGCCTGATTACAGGGTATTTTGCTTGGTCCACTGTTTGGGAGTTTGTGTGTGAGTGCTATTTGACTCAATTCAGCTGTGCATACAGGATGCCAACAGAGAAGATGAAGAAAGAAAAACAGAATAAAGGTACTGCATTGTACATATAGTATTTCACCGTGTATTTTCACAGTTTGGATAGAAATGGTTTTAATCCAAAATGTTGTGCACCTCAGGTAGACAGTAATGTGTGTGTATATGTGTGATCTTGTACTTCTGTCTCTGTGAGAACATTTACATTGTCAGATTGAGCACATTATTGGAAAGTTCGGATATTTTGGCTGTTCCTCACGTTTAGGCTTCAGACTTAGTTTAAGGGTTAAAGGTAGAAAAGTGTATTTAGGTACAGTACTTAAGTAAATGTACTTTTCACAATTTTGCATTGTATGAAAAAATAACTCTAACAAACATTAAATTTGCAGACACAGTTACACATACTGCATATAAAAAACCTGCATAAATATGCAGAAACAGGAGGAAGACTAAGGGCAAACATATACAAAAACACAAGAATATGCAAATAAAATGCAAGTATAAATAGCATATCAGGGCAAACATACACACTTAAAGACATACACACAGTCACAAACACACATAACAAGAGGCTGATGCACACACTCTCACACTTGACACACACACACACTCAAGAGTTTAAGCACATGTGACCGGTGACAAGTTGCCTAATGCCCAATCCTCCTCTGCCATACACCACGATGTGACCTTTACTTAATGAGATCTCTCTCTCTCTCTCTCTCTCTCTCTCTCTCTCTCTCTCTCTCTCTCTCTCTCTCTCTCTCACACACACACACACACACACACACACACACACACACACACACACACAACACACTGGCTTAATCTGTAATTTTCTTAGCTTTTGCTCTTCTTACAATCTGCTCAGTCTTGCCTGAAATCAGAAATAGATACTTTAGATATTTATCACGACAGAAGACAGTTATGCAGGTTGAAGGTGAGAATCAGGTGAGAAGGAGGAGGAGGAGGAGGAGGAGGAGGAGAGAGAAGTGGGGACAAACAGGATTAAAAGCATGGAAAATATGAAAGACGGTGTGCAGGAAAGGAAGATGAAGGGCACAAAGAAAGCAGACGTGCACAGAGAAAAACGAACAAATTAACAGGGAGACTCTTCTTCTACCTTGAGGGGTGGAAAGCAGATGGAGGGATAAAAATCAAAGAGGAAGAAGAGAAAGAGGACAAGAGATAACATGTGTCTCTGTGTTTGTGTTAGTATGTAGCTTGTATGTGTTTGTTAATATGTGTGTGTATCCTTGGGCAGGAGTCTCTTGGAAGTCCTAACAGAGATAACATCACCCTAACATCTCTATCTGCACCACAGGCCAAAAGGAAAGACAACAACAAGGGGAAAACATTTTTCGTAAAATATTTGAGTTATTGGATATTCCTGTATTTTATAGCTGTCTCCTGCTTAACCCTTACACCTGATTTTTATTTTATTTTATTTTCCTTGAACTAGTGAATTTTAATTGGAAAAAACTGAACTGCTACGCTTTGTGTGTCATTGATTGGAGTTTTTCTTAATCCGAATCGAGTGTCTACAGACCGAGGTGTTGTGTACGGTGGATGAAATGGCTCAAAGCACTGAATCTAATAAAAGTATAAACATATGCACAAAACATAAGCAAATAAAAAACCAATCTTCACCACAAGAGAACACAATATAGTCAGTTTTATGACAATGGGAGGGCACAACGCTAATCACTAACACTAGATGTAAAGCCAGTATCTCCAAAATCATCAAATGAAAATACTGAAACATCTTTCTCATATTTAATATCACCATTGACATTGTCCAACTTTATCCAATTCCACATCCTGGTGTGTTAATCTATTTATTTGCCAACCCCCTGAAACTCACATTATCTTGTAACTTGCTCCATTGTGTTACGCACAACTTTTTAATGTGTGTACAACAAATGTCTTAATAGACTGAAATAGCAAAAGTAAAATTACCATATGGAGAATCAGGACAACAAGATTAGAAATAGATTCCAAAGTCGAAAATGGAGGAAGCTTTCTGTGTGGCTTTAACCTACACCACACAAAGCAATGTTTTTAGATAGTTGATGATACAACTACATCTTCAATAAACAGTGTGAACTTATTGTCCCGTTAGCAACTAACAAGGTTTCTAACTTCAATAACTCTTATTAATATTACTATTAATATATTTATTACTATTAAATGAAATAGTAATATGTAGAAAACAGAAAGAAGTTCAGACAGCTATTGTACCTGGCATGTTTCCGGTTGGCTAGCATGTAAGCAGTTGACCAATGATTTTGGTTAAATGTTCATAAACAATTAAGACATTGCTGACTCTGGATAATGCTCTGGTCACTATGACAGGACAGTATTGCAAGATTGCTTATTTTGGCACAAAACAAATAAAACATGTTGTCAGTGAATATCAGTAAGTATATAACTATCAACATTGTTGTGACATGCCAGGTCAACATGTTAACATTGCCCTATTATGTTAACAGAAAACTAATTAAACTATAACTGCATTACATTTCCGTCTAAATGTATTTGCTGTTGCAGAGTAGTTGTATACAAACATAATTTCTCGGAGATGTCTGTCACAAGCTACAGTAGTTTACAAACTAGCTTTGCGAGTTGCACATCACCAAGCGTCTAGATTAGAGCATATATACACATATTTTGTGTATGAGTCCATGAACTGAATTTGTTGTGACTGGGCTTTAATACCAGATTCAGTGACACAAGTTAAAAACACATTGGTAAACCTTTTGCATTGGTCAGTCTGTGTCTGCTGACCTGCCTCCTTGACCTTCCTTCTGACCTTAGTTAAACAAGGGTCAGACACTAGCTGTTTTTAGCCAGTTACTTACTTAACAGCTTGAGTTTACTAGAAAATACAAGAAAGAAACACAAAGAGCAGAAAAAAAGAGAAACAGAGAAGAGACAGAGACATAGAGAAGGAAGCAGAGTGAAAAGGGGACAAAGCAGAACAGAATTAGAAAAATAGAGAAAGTGAAAAAAAATGATCAAAACACAGCAGGAAGAGCAATATTAGAGCGAGAGCAAAGGAGACAGAAAGAGAGACAGAGAGAGAAAAGGAAAGAATTTCATGCCTGTCCAAGGGAATTATTAAGTGGCTCGTCAACAACTGGCTCCCTACTGCCTTCAAAAGCTGCTCCATACTGCACTGAGATAAGCTCAGAGGAGGTGTGTGTGTGTGTGTGTGTGTGTGTGTGTGTGCGCGCGCGTGCGTGTGTTTGTGGTGAGGTCTTGTATTTCTATGTATGAATGAATGTGTTTTTGCGTGAGTTGATGTACATTCCTGGATACACCTGTGCATGTGTGTGTGTGCATGAGTCCAGGAGATGTGGGAAGAAAGAGGGAGCAACAGAAAGAATAAATATGTGTGTGCACATGTGCATCTGGTATGCACTGACAAACACGTTTGTGTGTGCACGGTGCAAGAGAGAAATGAAGTCTAGGAAACAGCCTCCCTCTTCAATGAAGCTTATCCATGCATGTATGTGTGTGTGTGTGTGTGTGTGTGTGTGTGTGTGTGTCCTGTAAGGTGTGTACGATTTAAAGTGAAGCAACCAGAGCGAGACCACCCATCACACATACACACAGGCACGTCATGCACACTTTCACACACAGTGTTGTAAAAGAGTTGACACAGTGAAAAAACTGGGGCTTTTTGCTCTTCTGTACAAATTCAATTCCAACTGTGACTTACAATAAGAGTATGTAAGCAGTTCTCTTTCTGTCTCTCCCTCCTTCTCTGTCTGTCTATCAGTCTCTGTCTCTGTCTCTCTCTCTCTCTCTCTCTCGTACACATACACACACACAAACACAGGGATCTCTTCCAGGCAAAATGGAAGTAC